CACCACCACCACCACCACCACCACCATCATCAACGTCACTTACATCTTTTCGCCTTAAATTGCCTCCTCCACAATATCTGTCATTACCATTATCATCACCTACAACAACACCACCACCATCACCACCGCCGCCATCGCCATCACCATCGCCAACATCATCACTAACAGGATCAACACGTCTTGCATCTTTTGGTCGTAAATTGCCACCTCATCAACCTCTTTCATCGCAATTATCATTACCAATATCACATTTAACAAGATTTCGTGTGCCACCCAGAGACGCGTGGGTGTTCGTGGCGGCCGCCTTCTGTCAGCAGGGTGAGTACAAATCACGGGCGTTGTAGTATGTGTTGCATTTGGCCTCTTTGAGAGATGTGAAGTTCTGATTGGTTGCTTGAGAAATTATTTCTTATTTGATGGGCGGGGTACAAGCTTCATATTTACACACTAATATTATTTTGAAAACACGTTGTCTTATATGAATCATGAATAGTACATGTACTATAGCATTATTTCTTCAAGTCAAACTATAAATGTTAAGGACACTTTTCGTCATTTTTGATATATATTATTAACTATGTAAATGCGTGGGTATTTATGGAGTCTTAAAGGAAATCTATATTGTAATGGAATACTTACAATCAAGTCATTGGAAGTAAAGAACTGGTGTTATAATTTTAATTTATTGCTCATTACCATATTTTCATATTTCGCACATTGATGTATGTCAGACAAACTTGTTCTGAATTATTGAGAACAGTATAACTTAAATTGTCAATAGATGAATTTCAACATTGTTTTTGATTCTCAATGTTAAAAGTAAATAATTATTTGGTTGACGTTTTCAAAACATTTAATTCCACTCATGTTCTTTCGTAAGACTTACCGAAGCAAAGAAGCACATTTAGAATGATTTTGGACAGTGAATGGCACTCTAATTCGAAAATGTCTATTACAGTCTCAACAAACGTTTTGAGGTTAAATTTTATCATTAGAAGACTAAATTCGATGACCTAAAACATCGCCAAAAATCAATAAAATGTCGTAAAAGCCAAGAAAAACTACATAGAAAATTGATAAAAAACATTTCAGATTATTAAATTACCCAGTTTCTAGGCATGAAAATACTCTGAAGAGAAAAAAGTTTTCACAGTGAAGAATTAAATCTGTTGTGCATGTTACTGATATAATTGAGGCTTCCTTCATTCGTTCAAGAGACCTCAGTTTGCAAATTTTTTTTTGTATTGTTCTTTACTGGAATATCTCTGCCTTTTGTTATCACATCGGGAGAACTGAATACGGAGGTGATAGGAGTCACAGGAAGCTAAGATGTTTTACAAGCCAATTGAGATCGCATTAAGAGCAAGGGCCTCCTGATTTTTTGCAGGGCATGATGGGGATATGCAGGAAATGTATGCGGATGATAGGGTGATGATGAGAGGGGATAGAACAAACACAATTCAACTGTGTTCAAGGCGGAACTCGAACCCGCAATCATTCGGCCCGTGATCGCCACGGTACTAAGCCATGGCTAGCTTAGATTAATACTCACAGCGGCTGACATTACACCTTCTGAGCGAAGAAATCAAATAAACCACTCAGACAATCTGTGAGGAACACTTGTTTCATATCATTAATATTATATGAAACAAGTACCATGATGATAATTCCATATTACATTTAAAACAATGAAATGAGTACAGAGCTGCTAAAGCTGCCTGATAAGGAAAATATTAAAACTGCTATAACCTTTGTAATTCCAAGACCAACTCTTCAACACTATTTTTAAGGAGAATCTAGCAATGACATTCACCCATTCAAAGTTTAAACACACTTGTAGGAGGCGAAAGAAATAAGGACATTTGTCGGTCGAGCACTTCTACAGGTATTTACAAGATGGAAAGGGGCTTAAGGGAATTAAGTCAATAGATTCCCTCCAGAAGTACACGGAAGTATTTTCTTTGGAGCTACGCTTCCAGTGTGGAAACATGTTGAAGCTTAAGAACTACGGTGTGTTCTGCCAATTGTTACAAAAGGCACAGTTTCACAATTCACGCCATTTCTCAGAATATTCTGACGAGGACAGAAATTCAGATGAAGAAAATATATTTTTGGAGTGAAATGTTTAAAATTATCAACTCATTGAAGCTTAATAAACCAGCAGTAACAGACAATTGCATTCAACAATGCTATTTGACTTCAATAGACTTTTTACAAATCAGTTTTCTGAGTACTTCCATACATCGAATGAAACATATCGGTTGCCCTTAATCGGGCCACCACTGTGTGCTCTACCCTATCTTATGGCTCGCTAGTGAATCCAATAAAATCTTCCGACAAGAGTACATTAAAGCTCACTTAGGTTAAATACATGAGTATATTACATTTACCGTCGACTGAGATTACTTTGACTCTTGTTAAAACAGCTGTCTACTAACGCCCTACGAGATGAAAGTACACGTAATCCTTTCGAGCACTGTTCATACATCTAGATAACCATTCTCCAGGGGATAAACGCCTAAGAATGTCACAGGACGGTTTAGTGTCATATTGTGGTTCTTCAAAATAGACGATGATAGATGAAGACTTGAAGGAGACCACATGTTAGTTGAAACGTGGCTATCGCAGACTCCGACACGCAGCGTCACCAGGGTAGGCCAGATCGTGGGCTAACTAGAATATTGTGCTCTCAAGGCCACATGTGCTTCGTGAGTTGTATGGGCGTGTGCTGTGTGTGTGCGCGCACTTGGTGGCGCTGGTGCTGAGAACTGGTTATGGAGGCGGATGTAGCTGTGTTTGTCTAATGCAGAATGTTCAGAATATCGCTTGTGTGCTCAGGGCAACCTGTGCCTGGTGCGTGGTCTGGGCGCATGCTCTGTGTGTGCGCGCACTTGGTGGCGCTGGTGCTGGCCGCAGCACACTCTGGTTCTCTCATCTCTGCGCTCTCCGCCGGCGAGCAAGGCCCACCTTTCAAGTCTCTGGACGAGGCCCTCAATCATCCCCATTCACGTGTAGTTGTCGTGGTGAACATGAGTATTGCAATAGAAGTGGTCAATAGTAAGGTGTGTGCAAAACTTTATAACTAGCTGCTTTTTTACGTTTATATACTCGTTAGAATATGTTGTTCCTCTAAGAGATAATAATTACAAGGGAAATGGGTGTGCACTCTGGTGAGACAACATCCATGATTCTTAACTGAGCCAGAGGACGTTTTATTATCCTGACCTGATATAGCAATTTGCAACCCGAATATCATGCAAGGATTAATGTTACGTAGGACACAGAATACTCTCCGACATTGTTTTTTTATTATTGTGGGCGTTTAATTTTTTTAGTGTAAAAAGTAAAGTTTCTTTTTAAGATACTTCTATACTTGTTCGTCATAATTCAATGTATTTGTAAGGGATTTAATAAATTCTACCTATTCAATTCTAAGAAAACAATATGTTGTAATATACTTGTCTTTAAAAATATAAAAAACTTTGGTGTACCACAGCTTTATTCTCTTTGCTTTCGTGATGAAATATTCGAGTTCGTAATTAACGCGTTATTTGTGTTCCAATTTGTCTATTGTCTACAATATGTGTACACATGCAAAATAAAAAAAAGTTGTGCGACCCAAACACTTCACAAACGTTTCTCAATGTATATCGACGCACTGAATCCGAATCTTAAGTCATAATAAATAAAGAATAAACGTTTTGTGCGGGTTTAGTGTTGTTCTTGTTTAGTATGTTAGGTTAGATCTGCGAAAAGAACCAAGTTTCTTTTAGATCGTGATGTCTTTCGACGGTGGCTTCCCTGTGTGATAATAATAATAATAATAGAAGTAATAATGTAATTAATAATAGAAATAGCAATATTGGTAATAATAATAGTAATATTAATGATAGAAGTAATTGAATTGATAGAACTAATAGTAATAGTAAAATTCATTGATTTCATCTCTGGCGAGGTTCACGCCATATGACCTGTTTGTCCGCTTAACAAACTAAATGGATTAAAATGAATGTCCGTTACAATGGCGGCGGTGGCGCAGGATCCCAACATGCTGCTACGCGAGAAGCTGCGCGCCGAGCAGCGGCGGGGCTTCCCCCGTCACGTGCAAGAGGCCCTGATGCGCAGCTGCGCGCATGCGCACACTGTGGCCATGGTGGGGCAGGACTCAGTGCCGCTGCTGGCGCCGGGCCTGCCCTGCGATGTGACTGAGCTCCCCTTCGCCCAGCTGCGCAACCCCGTGTCCTTCGCCTTCGCCCGCGGCAGCCCTTACGTCGGCCTCTTCAGCTACTCGTGAGTCGTAAGCAATCATTTATACACATCTTGCTGTTGAACACTGTAAAAGCCACGTTGGGACTCCATTATGATGATGAGCCCACTGGCCTACCATTGTAATGGGAACCTTTGTTTAACAGAGGTCAGGGGTTGTGAGTTCTCCTAATGATGATATTTAACCAGTTTTTGTACTACAATCACAAATTACTTACACCAATATATCATAGGCTTGACTGGTCGGAAGCTCGGTTATGAACATAAGCTCTGTAACATTTCACCAAAGAATATAGATTTATCAGACACACGCACAAGCATGAATTAATTACTTAGATGATTATAGCTGGATATGTAAGGGATGAAATAACACATTTTTGAACTGGTAAAATGGTCACGTTACTACAACGAAAAAGTTAGAAATAGTAAGTCGTGCCGGAAATCACATTGCGCCAGATCATTAACATTACTTTACAACTACTTAAGCTACTTTTGGATTATTTTGCTACTTTACAATGACACTTTTAGTGAAACCTTCTTTGACAAAATAATTTAAATCTGCGTGAGGTACCATCGGTTGTCTGCCTCCTTTTGTCACACTCAGCTGACGTTGACCGCCCGATGAAGGGAACAGAGTGCGGGCCGATAGATAGCTGACTTTGTTGCGCCGGTGTGCTGTCCCCTCGTTCACAAAAGTGCCGCCAAAGCTGACTTCCTCTCAGCTACCGATGCCGTCATGGAATCTTTTGCCGATTAGTCTTACAACGAGTTCTCTAAGTATAAGGTAGAAGTAATTTTAGGCCATTTGCACGAATATTGCCCAAAATGCACCCAGTAAATGAACTTGCTGGTTAGGCAGCGTCAGCAGTCGCGATAGTGTCTCGTAACTATATGACAACAGCCTACCTATTGTGCGCACCCTCTCATAGAACAACAGTCGAACTTTAAGTTCGCAATCAAATTCTATGTGAAGTTATAATCAAAAACAGTACAAGCCAGTGCTTTTATACTCGAAGTCAAAGAGCAAGGCTCAAACTGAAGTTAAAGAACATGCATTCAGACTTGAAGTTTGTGAACAAATCTCTGATATCGTAGTCAACTCAAAAAATCAAGGCTATTTTGCGATTTTCCTTTGTAATACTGATCGTCAAAAATTATATTTTAATGTTCAAATTTCCCTTAATTTCTGACTTTGTCATTACATTAGAGCGTTCACTGCACCGCCAGTCCTCAAATCCCGTTACAAATTTTGTCGTTATATTTTGCAGCGCTCGCGCTGCAGCTGGGTATGCCGACTCCCGGCCGTCTCGTTGTCGCCGCCGCTGCAGACCATGGCTCAATTTCAGCCACACCGTCGCTTCTCTACCTCGCAGAACAACCGTCCACAATGACGCTTGAAGCGCCGTCTTCTCTCTCGTGCCACCACATTCACATCCAATGTTCTTTTGTCTTGCTTCTTGACCATGTTCGGCACCAGAATCCTCTTCTCTTCTTCTTTCTTCGCCGCTCTTCCTATGCGGCAGCCCTACTCTTATTTCAAAGACCTTACGCGTGTTTGCTAACAGCGTATCGGTTTTCTGGCGTTCTTTACAACACTTCTTACTCGTGTACCTAACTTCACATTTCTACTGACGCGTCGTAAGAGCTGAAAGTTCTCGCTTTCCCTGCCACTATTCCGCCTCGTACTAGCTACGTCACTATTTTCCACAGTTTTCATGAAATATGTTACTTCGCTTCGACAATCAGAGTTCAGAAAGCTCACCTACTGTTCTTTTGTATGAACAAATACTTCGCACCGTAGCACCGTACTTTCTACAAAATGGCGTCTCACACTTCTCTCTGATGTAGCTGTTTACGCACGCCCAAACTCTTCGTCTCTCACCAAAAGAGCTGAGTAAGATGTTTGATGTTTGGTCTCTCTTGGAGAGGTAACATTACGTCACGACCCCTACCGACTGACCTCTCCATGCTCACCATAACCTGATAGTCTATTGGTGTATTAGTGGATGCTGGTAGCAGATACCAGGCGGCGCTATTTTGCATCTTCATTAGCGGTGCACTGCATTGCGGAGGCATGTCTTGTCGTTGCCGAAGTGGCATGGGAGGCTGGGGTATTTGAAGCATATATTAAACACCACAATATATATATATATATATATATATATATATATACTATATACTATATATATACCTCCGATATATTTCTGCCGAAGGTAAGGATAGGGAGTACGCTATTTCTTAAGTTATTAGCTCTGGTCCGGTGCGTTAAGGATGGGCAATACGGAGGGGTAAAATGGGGCGGGTGCGAATGTGCAGCGCTCGGCGCAGCTGGCCGCGCGGGACGTTGTGGCGGCTGCTGCGCCGCCACCTGGCCGCACTCGCGCCGCCGGCCACCGCCGCAACGAGCGCCGCCAGCGGCGTGCGATTGCGCGACGCCGCGCCCGCCTTCACGCTGCTGGTCGCGGCCGCGGTGCTCGCCGCCCTCCGCTCCTGGCGGAAGCGCGCGCCTCTTCTCGCGGCGACTGCGCATGCGCGGGGCTCGCGCCGCCACGCACTTTTAGCGCCGGCCGTGAGAAGTCTGTTGCTCACGTGACTAACATCGTTATACGCTCGTAAGGAATAACGTTCAGAAAAGCTTATGTGGCACTGCATTGTAACAGAAGAAGCGTTTATGCGTGGAACAAAGAAGTTGCATAATATATAAATAAATGTAGGATTGGAAGAGTGTACCTGTTGGTGAGACATTATTTGATCCACGGTACGAGTCAACAGTAAACAAATGTCCATTATGCAAAAAGTTTTAGACTTTCTGGCCCTGGGCGCAGTATCCCAGACTGGGATTTTGAATCAGCTTTTATTGAAAACACAGTAAATTACAGCGTTGGTTATGGGCATAAGACTCAACGTAACGCGAAATATAATTTCAAATTTTTCACGAATTTTTGCAGGTCATCTTTCCGATATTTTCTGTTAATTCATGACAGAACGGTGAATGACGACTGAAATTTTTAATATTTTAGATCGCGATTGGTTTTACATGTCTCCCTCTCCTTTCAACTCGTGATCTTAAAATGCCACTCCGTGTAAATAGGAGTAACCTGCTGATCATTTCTTTTCATGTCGTTCGTCGCGCCGAGACGCGCGTTGAGTGCCGTGGTGCAGTTGTGCAACTGCGGCCAACTGCTACGGTAGACAACCTTGACATCATTGGTGCGGGACATAAAATACAACAGGCATGGCCTAACAGCATTTCCGGGACTTGCAAAAATATTATTATTGTGCTAAAATTTTACAAAATATGAGTGTGTATGAATTACTGACAAGTGTGCAAAAGACTGAGGTAATGAGGAAAGCAATAATCAAAGATATAGGTGGTAGTAGTATCGCGTGAAAGATGTTTCCCTCAGGCAACATGAGGTTGAAAGGATAGTTGGTAGGTGATTGCAAACAACTTCATAAAAAATGTTAAATTTGTAATTTATTAAAAAACAGATAATAACTCAGTATTAAATTTCACTTAATGTGAAAATCACAAAAATACAAATTTTAGTAGTAGTCACAAATTTGAAAGTGTAATAGAATGGTGCAGGTCTCGAGTTCATTGAAAACTCTGATTTTTTGAAAATGGCAAAATTTCCAAATCTGTTCGCCTTCTTTTTAGAATTAAAATTACAAAGACAGATTTTTCCAAGAATGAAATCTAATTCTTACATATCGGGTTTGAGATGAGGTCATGTACAATTTTTCGAAAATTTGAGTACTTTTTGCGAAATTTTAGGTGAAAGTACAGGCGACCAATTAGTGATTTTATTAGCACCACTAGTTTCACTTTCTTAGCACTGCTTTCCTCGCTTAGACCACTATTAACATTTTCATCCTTGAAAAAACAAGAAAACACGCGTGAGTAATATTTTTATGATAAACGTGTGTAATATATAATTCTAAACATTCTTCGAAAAAATACCTTTATCTTAAGCAATTAAACTGTGTTAAAAAATACTACAATATTATTGAAAATGGTTAGTAACAAAATGTAAAATGTATCCCCAACAAGGATTGCACCCACAACCATTCGAACAGAGAACCGGCGCCTGATTATAAAGACGTATGTATAGTTTCCGTCAGTACATTAGAATGTTCGAACACATATTGTCCTACTGGGCTATAACAGACGTTTTATTCTATTTACATGCTAATACATTTGTGTAATTTCTAATTTTTTCATTTCATTTCCTAATTAGCTGTGGATTAAAGACATAATTGACATTACTGACTGGTTGACTTCCTGTCAAGTTAAATGACCGTATATTAATTAAGGGAAAAAGGCTGAAGAAACAACATAATCATACCCTAAACTTATCTTCGGTTTCCAATTGCTCTGCTAATCCTGAGAACAATGTCGTTTCATCTTCTATATCTGAAAATCTAATATCTTTAATTTCATATATATTGCCATCATCGATCTCTTCCGAGATGTTAAAAATTTGTTTGTCACTCAAGAAGCCAAGATTTTTTCCATTTTTATATCGAGCACGCCAGTGGATCAGTTACCTGTAAGCCGTACGGTTATAATCAAACCCCACTGTTGCTTCTAAGAAACATGTGTTTTTGGGGAATATTACAGAGAGCCAATTGAATATTTAAGTAAAGTATATATTAATTATAAACAATGAATATATATGAGAACAAATTTAAAGTTGCCCAAATCTACGCAAATGTACATATAACATTGACAAAAATAAAATATAAACATTAGGTACTTATGCCTCAATGAAATAGTTACATTTATGCTTAGTTAGCAATGTCTCACACGCTATGAAATTAAAATACTGCGTTTTAACGGAGATTATATTAACTGTATTGTATTATTAACTGTATTAGCTTGAGAATGTTTTAGCTGATAAATTAATATAATGAATCGAAAAGTGCGCTAAGAACATTAAGATACATATTGCTTCAAAACAACACTAGAAGTGAAAGGATTAACGGGAATAGTTCATAAAAACGTTTTCTTAGTTTGTGTTATAGGAACCCAAGCACTAGTTAAACCCCAAGTCTTCGAACTTGTAGACTCTGTGCAAACTCCAAAGGTCCGAAAAACCGTAATTTATCTGACATTATTCGTTTTTTTCTCAATAGCTCTTTAACCATAAGACATGTACGAGAATGATTCAGTCTAATTTTGTAGAGGATAACATTTCGTACAACAGTATTGGGTCTACAATATCGAAAACGTCGAGATTTAACTACTTTGTACTGAAATACAACATATCCAAAGATAGTGTTGTATGACATTCTTTCAGCTAATCCTGATTTTCAGCATTTGCATACTAGGCTAAACACCGACTCGAGTCTTTGCTAACAACACGACATCGCCTCCAGCACCTCTCCTGGTGTAGTGACCATATCGAATGGGCCCTAGACAACCGTCGCTTGTTCAGGTGCCATTTTCAGTTGGTAAGAGCAGATGGTAGGGTTCGAGTGTGGCGCAGACCTCACGCAGTCGTGTATCCAAGTTGTCGACAAGACTCTATGCAAGGTGTTGGTGGCTCTTTAATGGTGTTGGCTGTTTTTACAAGGAATGGACTGGGTACTCTGGTCCAACTGAACCGATCATTGACCGAAAGTGGTTAGGTTCAGCTACTTGTGACCATTTGTAGCCATTCATGGACTTCATGTTCCCAACAATGGAATTTTTATGGATAACACAATTCGAGCAAATGACTTTGCCACCCAGTATGCTCGACATGAATTCCATCGAACATTTATGGAACGCAATAGAAAAGCCACAATATCCTGCACCGGCAATGTTTTTGCAAATATTGGCGGCTATGAAGGTAGCAGGGCTCAATATTTATGCGGTAGACTTCCATCGTTTTGTTGAGTCCATTACACGACGAATTACTGCCCTTCACCGGGCAAAAGGAGGTCCGAGACGTTTTAGGCGGTATCCCATGACTTTTGTCACCTCAGTGTACGTACCTTCATTGAAAATACCTGCATTTAAAAACCATAAACGTTAGCTTTACATTAAGCTTAAATCTTGTGCGATTTCATCACACAAAATAAAGATCTGCAGGAAAGTTACAACAGAAAAGTACTTTATATGCCCGATTCGGAAAACAGAAAACCTATAAAGTGCTTGTTTAATATCCTTCACAAATTATTTTTTAAAACTAATGAGTCGCTGAAACTCTTTCTTCAACGTAATATTTATATATTTATATATTTTAATTTAAGCATATTTGATCGACAGCTTTTAAGTGGTTCAGTCCACTGGCAAACTCTTCACCAGGGAAACATATTGCTCCCTCAATGCACTGAAAGTCTTTCACTGACACTTTCAGATCACCAACAACGGATTCTAAAAGCCTGTTCATTCTCGTGCAAACGGGGAGTGGAGAAGCTATGTTTACGTCGCAAAAACGCAACCGAACATTAAATGATTGATTCATTAGTGATTCCAGGGGTATCAATCGCCGTCATTAATCGCTTAAGGGTAGTGAATGTTGTCATCGCAAAGAGA